AAACAATTGAAAGCATTGATTTAATCTACAAATCTACAATCATTTTTTTCCTTGCTACAATTCAGAACAAAAATTTCCATTAAGAAAACATCGAATTTAAGGTACAAGAAGTAGTTAACCCTCCCCCCCTTTTTTTAAATTTTCAGTACTAGTGATTGGACCCAGGGATCCTTCACCACTGAGCTACATCTTCCACCTTTTAAAGTTTTATTTTGAGAAAGGGTCCTGCTAACTGGATGAGGTGCCTCCTGCTTCAGACTCCCAGGTATGTGGGATTACAGAGGTGTACTATCCTACCTGGCTTAGGAAAATGTTTTTTAGTAACTTTTTTAAAATTTAAGTTTATGTAAGTGATCATTACCTTGCTTAAGTTAATCAGGGCAGTAACTAAATTTTTAGAGATCTAATTTCTCTATTCACTTCAGACAGAAAAAGAACGTATCAATTTCCTAAGAATAATGTATTTATATGTCTGAAAGAATTTTATCAAACTCGTGGAGCTTCTAAAGAAACCATCTATGGTAAGTAATAGCAATTAAGGTGGAAACAGGAGCAGTAGTAATCTATTAGCAAGCTTTGTTGTGGGTTGATCTCTCAGAAAACATCTCAGTCTGAATTTTGTCCAAATTAGAGAGTATTTTATTTAGCCAGCTGGGACTGCTCCCTGCAGGACCCAAATTGTCTCTGCCAGGAACAGTGCCAGTCTGAGTTCTATGGGGTTTATAAGGGGAAAAAAACCACATCCTCAAAAATGTAGGTGCAGGGCTGGGGATGTGGCTCAAGTGGTAGCGCGATTGCCTGGCATGCATGCAACCCAGGTTCGAGGGTTCGATCCTCAGCACCACATACAAACAAAAGATGTTGTGTCCGCCAAAAAATAAATATTAAAAATTCTCTCTCTCTCTCTCTCTCTCTTAAAAAAATGTAGGTGCAGCAAGAAAGCAGGATACTAGGGCTGAGAAAGCAATTAGCAGAAAACAGACAGCCACATCCTACATCCTGGGTTCCAGCACACTTGTGGTGATATGAAGCAGAAAAACATCTTAGAAACAGCTTAATGTTGTTTATTCCATAACACTAACACTTATCACATAATCCTATTATCCTACTTATATACTTATATACTACTTATATATTATTCATAACCTATAATTCATATTGATTAAGCTCAGACCATAACAGCGTATAGATGAGGGAAACAAGAAGAAATATTTAAGCACCACCAGAACCTTGGAAACCCCCCTTGATGAAGATTTGAGTAATTCTATGATGCCTTTTTGAGTCTGGCAGTACATTCTCTTTCTCGGGATAGGAAGTAAAATTGCTTTTCATCCACTGTTACTAAAGACTGACCTTGCTTACATTCCTGGAATGTACATTCAAAATTTACATTTTTAAATTTGATTTATATAGTTGTTGAAAATGCTAATGTTGCTGGTTAATTGTTTGTGATTAATGGCTACTGATGGGAGAAAATCATACAAAAGTCTTTCCATTCTGTAGTGTGACCTAAATGATCCTTAAAGTGAATTAATTTGAAAATTTCCAAATCCTTTCAAATGAGCAAACCAACCAAGCTGCAGCTCACATTTGAGTCAATTTTCTTCTTGCACAAGATCCCCTTTAGGTATAGAAACTTATGAAAACCAAGAGTTCCTGCGATGGGACCATGGCAAATAGCATCATTCTTATTATAGATACTGTAGAGAATCAGATGTGACTGCGTTACTATTACTGTCCTTGATGGAGTTTGCCTGCAAAGAGGATATTCTGTCAAGGTATAGATAAGTAACAGCGGACATGCTTGAAAACGAGGTGTCTGCTGTCCTTGGGAGGACTTGCCTGCAAACGGGATGTTCTGCCAAGTGGGCTAGGAGGGCGCTGAGAAAAATTTTATTATCTGTTCTTAACAAAGAGCAGAGCTCAACATACTCTGGGCCGAGAATAGATTAGCCATGAGAAGCAGGTCACTTCTGATTAGAAAGTAAAACTTCTGTATGCTATGTTTAATTAGCTGAAAGACCTGATTTATTGCTGTTGGAAGGCTGTCTTCTTTGTTCACAATACTATAAAAAGATCGCTTGTACACAATAAAGGACTTTTTTTTTCTGCTGCTGCTTTGCTTGCTCTGCTTCTTCTTTCTTTTCTCATACTGACCTGCAAGTGAATTACTGCAACAGATACTGTATTCAACTTTTGTAGATGTTGACAACTACAGGTCCATAAATTCTACCAAATGTTGGAAAGACAAGATGGAAAAAATTTTGTCTCAAATATCAGGAAACACTAGAAAGTTAGGACAATAGGTGATCAAAGTAGACAGACTAGATTAAATGTCATGTATCACCAAAACAAATGGATCCCTGTCAGCCATTACCCAACAAAGACTATCCTCAGAGATTCACTTTATGTCACAAATCAGAAAATTATGCTGAAAGGAGATAAAGAAAAAAAGACTTGTTCAATAACCACACTTATTAGGCAAAAGCCAGAGACCTGAAATACTATTCATGCAACTCAACAGAAAAACTGAGGGAATGCCAGCCAATAGCTTCTAAGGACTCAGGTTTGCATGAGGTGCTTACAAAGTACAGGACTGGGTACAGCAATATGTTAAGCTTGGTTAATTTGTATCCCCATTGTCCCTGAAAAGACCTGTTAAGGAATAATATAGAGACTGTTTTTGGATAATAATTCACCATTGTATAGAAGGGAGCACTGGCTTTAGATTGTTTTCAACAACTACTAAAAGCTAAAACAACATTTATATAAAAAAGTGGAAAGGACAGGAGGATAAAATGTTGGGGTCCTTTATGATTTTCCTCCTCTTTGATAAGCAGCTTGGCGGAAAGCAATCAAAGAGGTTATGCTGTCCAGTATTCTCTAGACCTGAGCCACCACGTCACCACAGAAAATGATTACAGCTATTAGAGGAGTTTAATTATATGAGGGGTGTGTGTGTGTATGTGTGTGTGTGTGTTGCTGGGGATTGAACCCAGGGACTTGTGCGTATGAGGCAAGCACTCTACCAACTAAGTAGAGTGCTCTACCCCAGCCCCTATCTTAAGATTTTAACTGCCTAAAATATACAACATACTTATCAGAGTCATAGCCACATGGCCTCTGTTGGACCTCTGCTGTAGCTAAGCCAGGATGGCAGCGCTGACCTAATTAGAATACCATAGATGAAGAAAAAGTTTGTTGTGCTGGCAAGCAAAGGGATGTTGATAGAATTGGAAAATAAATTGAAATATGATTTGGAACCACTTTTGTGGAAGGTGAATTTGCAGAACATACTAAAATCAGAAGCATTGTACACACACTATAATGTAAAAAATTGCACATCTAGTTCTCTACCCTACAGAAACATGTGCATGACTGACCAGATATGTGTACAAGAATGAATGCAGCATTATAATCATAAAATCATAAAACCAACTTAGTTTCAAAAGCATTTGGAAATGTTAATTAAATGCACAAATTAAGGAAGAATCTCCCCCCCCAAAAAAATGAAAAGCTAGGTGCAGTGGCACATACCTGTAATCCTAGTGACTCCGGAGGCTGAAGAAGGAGGATCACAAGTTTGAGGTCAGCCTGGGCAATTTAGCAAGACTGGAAATAACAAGAAGGGCTGGGATATGGCTCAGTTGCAGAGAACAGATACCCTGAGCACAGGGTCAGGCTGGGAGTCGGGGCAGTCCTGGACAGGTATCAGACGTGGGAAGGAATAGGGAGCAGAAGAAAAAGCTACGTGTGTTTATAGTCTGCAGTTGACGAGTAGGAACGTGCAGAAACTGACAGCTGCCCCCCCCCCCCCGGGCGGGGGCGGGGAACTCGAACCCACAGCTTTAGGTCAATGGCCAAACGCGCGAACCCACTGCACCACAGACACACGATTAGCTTCCGTTCCGTTCTATAGAAAATCTTTCCTCACTAAGCTCGGTCCCCTTGAAGGCACCGCAAGTTCTGAGGACTAGAGAAGCAGAGGAGACCAGAGGAGTGAACCGTGGCCATTGTCGCATGGGAAACCTGGGTGTCCAGGGATTCCAAAACCAGAGGGGCAGCAGAATGGTACTGGCTATTTCAGAACTCAACCTGGGAGTAGCTGTGTGGTCCCGGGGTTGCTCCCCCGGGGGCTGGCTGGCGCTGTCCTGCCGTGCTGAACCGCCCACCCCAGCGCCCACCCCACTCGGCCGCCTTCCTGGAGCTGGGAAGTTTCCCGCCGCGGATTCCCAGCCCCAGCTCTGCACGGTGGCAAGGGCGTCGATAGTGTGGCTCTCGGGTCCTCCAGCCACCCGGGTCCAGCCCTCACTTAGGACTTGTTGGATCAACCCACCGTAGTCTGTAGGTTTTGATCCTTTGAAGAAGGCTGCCAAAGGAAGTTTTATCCAAGGGCAAGCTCTGGTTAACCAGAGCGGGAAGGCCACAGAGCTGCTTCTCCTGTTATCACCTCTGCAACCCATCACTATTACTTTTGCTTAATTGGTCAAATGTACCTACATTTTAAGTTCCACTAACAACACACTTAAAATGTGTCTGACCTAAGGGTTCAAACCTATCTGGCTGAATGTAATGTGTGTGTGTGTGTGTGTGTGTGTGTGTGTGTGTGTGTGTGAGAGAGAGAGAGAGAGAGAGATTCTCAACAGTATTTGCTTTCCCTAATGCAGAGGTTTTTTCAATTTTTCATCACACTGGAAAGTACAGTTCAAAAGACAGGGGCTGGGGATGTGGCTCAAGCAGTAACCGCTGGGGCTGGGGATGTGGCTCAAGCAGTGCCGCCTGGCATGCACCGCGTGCTGGGTTTGATCCTCACAGCACCACATAAAATAAAGATGTTGTGCCACCAAAAACTGCTCTCTCTCTTTAAAACAACAACAAAAGTACTTTCCTTTGCCAGGCCTCAGGCTTGCTAGGTAAGTACTCTACCGCTGAGCGAAGCAGGATAGCAAGTTTGGGATCACAGCAGGCACTACCGCGTGTGGCTAAAAAAATTGAAAATACTCTTAAGTACATAACTTATAAAATAAAGAAAGAAGTAAAACGTATCAGTTGTATCAGGTTCAAGCACCACCCAACTGGGAAGTAGAGAAGGTGGTTTATTTGGGAATAGCCAGGCCCAGGTTTGCTACCGTGACCTGACTGGAGACGAACCGCCTTGGACCACCTGCTGCCCGGGCACTGGCTGCAGAGAAGGCCCCTCTCACCTTCTTGGTGCCTTTGAACCATAAAATCTCGTGGAGGTTTCTTCTTTTGCCTTTGGTCTACTTCCACCTCGCCCTCAGCAGCTTCTGCCTTTCCCCTGCTGGTCCCGCCGGGCTGTTGGGGCGTTTGCAAAGCTCCTGGGACGCGGATTTCTCCCGGTGAGAACAAGGCAGCGAGGCAGGGGCTCCCGGAGGAACCGCAAAATGACCTCGTGCGCCCGCGCCCCCGCGCCCCGGTGCCTCGGGAGCTGCAGGCACAGTGAATAAACGCCCCCTGGGCTTCTCTGCAGGTGACAGGGAAGGGCTGAAGTGTCCCTGACCAGGCAAGAGGGGCCGGCCAGAGGACCTAGGCCTGACCCTGTTCCTCCGCAGAGGATGATTTTGACGCTGGGAACGAAAGAAAAGTCTCAACGGCCGTCCAGACCCAGGTCCCTGGGCTGAGGGTGTCCAACGCGCAGCTCTGAGGCAGCTGAATCCACCACCTCGCCTTTATCGGGAGAGCGGTTTGCCCACATTCAGAGACGCAGATCAGTCTCTAGTTTATCAAGGAGGAAACACCATTTTTCCCCCTGACAGATTGGAAGTGTGGTGTTTGAGAAAGCCTGGTCTCAAGGAGAATTTAGCCTGAGCACAAGGAAATTGCCGTCCATCCAAGGTAGGTAAAACCAGAGACTCGGGTTGTAGCTCAGTGATAGGGCCTTGTGGAGGGCCAGGGATGGCAATACTAAAGACAAGAGCAAAAACTAGATGCAGCAGTCTGCAGAGGACAGAGCTGGTATTTAGTTCAGAGGCCTGAGGACTTCATTGTTCGGGTTTCTCTTTCCTTGAGAGAGAAATGTATCTCTGTTCCTATATGACTACATGACTCTTCCTATATTACTCTGAGGATGTTGGGGGTCTCGCTCTGGGACTTGAGGTGTTGGCAGTTCACAGCTTGGCAGAGTGCTAGGTCTCCCCACTTTTGGAGAAAATAGAGCAAGTAGCCTGTGGAGAGGAAAGTGAGGATTGTACCAGAGATCCAAGGCAAGCAGAACAGGTCAGGACATTCACCATGCAAAAGGTTGTGCTCAATTATTAATAATTTTGTACTTCATCAATAAAACATATGGACATTTATTTTCTTACCCATTGTATGTACCCATGTAATATACTTGATTTTGCATCTAGGCACATGATATTTATTTTCTGTTCCTTTTCAAGAAACAATACCCAACACTTCACAACTAGAACACCCAGAAATCTCTCTTACTTATTTACATACCTAGAACAATTTTCCTGACGATAAATTTCTTTTTTTGGCTTGAGACATTTAGTATTTGGCTTGTTGTTATTTGAAGTAAAACAATAAATACTAAGCAAAATAAATGTGGATTAAAATATTTAAGTGCTAGAAATGAGTAAGAGATAATTTTGAGATAGAAAATTGTACAAAATCTTGGTTGGGAACACATTTTTGTGGTCTGGTTATAATTAGCTACTTTCTTTGGGAAAACAATAGCACTTTGAGTTACAAGGGAGGTGCAAACTTGGAGAAAGTATTAGTAGTTTATATAAGAAAACCTGATTAATAGCTAGGATAAGGTCTACCAGCCTCCCTCCCATCCCAACCCCAAATCAAGATGACCTGGAGAGTTATACCCAGCCAAGTTGACTTTCAAGCATCAGAGATGCTAAATATCTTGGTCTGTTTTGTCTCTGAGAGTTTTGTCTCTGAAGATAATTTAATTGTTACGCAAGTGTTTCAGGGGCAGAAGGACACACATTGTTTTACTGCTTACCTACTGATGTCAACTTGTAAAAGCAGACATCTTAGGGCTAATTTTCATATCAAGAAAGTTAATATTTTGAAAGATTTGTTGTTGTTGTTGTTGTTTGGCAGTGCTGGGGATGAACCCAGGGCTTGTTCATGCTAGACAAGAACTCTATTGTTGAATTACATCCCCAGCCCTGCAATTGAGTCTATCAGTAAAATTTGCACTGAAAGATGATGCTTCCAAAATTCTGAAAATAGATCTCCTCCATGTCTCTTTTGACAAGTAGAAACACATTCTACTTTATCCTGCCTACATGAGTATATTGATTATATCCCCAGAATAGAGTCCCAAGGAGTTCTCAGAGAAAGGGGCACACGACTAGGGAACAAATGGGTTTTTGATAAACATGATGGAAAAGAATTTAAGCTGTGTCAGTAAAGGTACAGAGATTTGTTTAGGAAAGCAAAGAATACACATTCCAGGAAGAATAGGGGCCATCTTGAGAGTGAGATTGCTATTGGGATTCTCAACTCTTAAACTTGGTAGGCCATGGACTTGGAAGGTATGTGAAGAGCGTATCAGCTCCGCGTTCTCAGAATCCTTAGGCTGGTGGGGTCTCCATCTGATCAGCATATAATCTTGGAAAGTCCCCCAAATTATAGGCTTCTAAAAATATTTCTCTTTGCTCAATATATTTATTGATGGTCTAATTAATAGTGCACAAAGTAATTTTCATAAGTGGGTGAACTTATGGTAACTTTAAGATTTAAGGGCTGGGGTTGTGGTGGAGCACTTGCCTAGCATGTGTGAGGCACTGTGTTCAATTCTTAGCACCACAAATAAATAAATTAATTAAATAAAGGTCTGTCAACAACTAAAAACAAAAATTAAATAAAAAGATTTAAAGATTTCCTAGAAATTTGGGAGTGACAGTCCAGGGGGGAGACTGGCTTGGTGAGTGACAGGCGGGAATGTATGCCGAGCCTCAGATCAAAACTCTATCTCCAAGGCCTTCTCTTATGTCTTCTTTCTACCTATTTTAAAATTTCTTCTATCCTGCCTAGATTCCACAAGTTTTGAAGACTCAAGGGTGTAAAAGAAAAAACTATGGAAACTGTTCTCCAAAACACAATAATATACTTTTCCTAGCCAATTTATGGGATTGGCTAGCATTCCTGGAACAGATATTGGAATTTGGGAATAAAGGGAGAAATACTGAATTGCAAAAGGAAGTGCCCATGAAACCCCGAAATGAAGAAAGGCCCATGAATAGTCACAACCTAGCCAGTGCCCTTGGCTGTGCCCTGGTACGCTAAAGTAAAATGAGGGCAAAGCACAGGGAAAACCGGCATGAAACTGTGTAACTCTGCCTGGCTCCACCTCTAGTCCAGTCCCTCAGAGACATCTCTTATCTCAATAGGAAACAGTCAAATGTGAATGGTGGAAACATAAGGTTAATAATATTTCTACAAATTGGGCCCATAAAAATTTTTATTCTATAAAATTTATAGAATTATTTTATAAAATGGGACCATTGTGCTGACCCCCACATATTTTGACTTTTAAAAAGCAATTTATCTGCAGCCCTGCTTGGCTTAAGTCTATAAGATATGTTACATTCCTTAGCAAACTATCTGTTATCTGCAGGAGAAATGCAGGTCATGAAATGCCAATAAGAACATGAGTCACCCCAAGTAGGGGACTTCTGTGACTCTCACACAGACCAGACCCCAGAACTCAGGGAAATAAAGGTAATTCCTCCTAACCACAAAATCTGTAATGATCAGATTCCAATTAGAATCAGTCAGCATAGGCTGAAGTGACTTAGAGTTGTCATGGCGGTGGGGACTTAAAAGTCTGATGTCATCCTGCTGTTAGTCAAAAGTCAAGAGGTGAACTTGGGCAGGACTCTTTGGAAACCTGAGATCCCCAGTAAACTTGGAATATAGGAGAGGTATACTGTCCCTCTCCCCGACTCTCTTCCTTGAGATTACCCCCTTTTCCCTTTCCTATCCCTGGCCAGACAGGTTGCACAAGCCTATATCCCAGCGACCTGGTAGGCTGCGGCAGGAGGATTGCAAGTTGAAAGCCAACCTGGGGTGTAGCTCAGAGGAAGAGCACTTGCCCGACATGCATAAGGCCCTGGTTTGATCCTCAGCATTACAAAAAATAAAGTTAAAAAAAAGTAAATAAAGAACATATCACAATTAAAAAAAAAAACAAAACAAAAAGCCAGCCTTTGGAGATGCTATCTCAAAATAAAACAATAAATAAATAAATAAAAAGGCTGGGGATGTGGCTCAGTGTTTAAGCCCCTGGGTTCAATCCCCGGTACAATGAATATAAAAATTGAAAAAAGAACACACGCCGCTTACTCTGAGGTAAATGTCTGAAATCTTTCCAACTTGATCACAAGAATCGGGGTTTGAAAGGGAGACCTTTGTTTTGCCTCCGTTTCCTGGAAGGCCCATGTCCTGCAGCACTGGGACAGAACTAACTCCGTGAAGGAGCTTCTGGATAGGACCCTCTCAGTTTGAGTGTCTATGTTTTATGAATTGATATCTGCCAATACTTTCCATAAAACATACAAATACCTCTTATGAAAAACATGGTTTCCTATGAAGAGAGCACAATATGCCACTCTCAATATGGGGTCACCAAGTCTAAATGGTGGCTCCAGGAGGGGGTACAAGTCTTTGAAGGCATCTGGAAAACAAAGTCCTCAGGTCGTCCCACATGCTCCACAGGCATGGATTCTGGGCTTTGGTGGTTTGATGGTAGACTCTGTAGTTTCATGTGGAGGACCAAGTTTTGATTTCTGGCTAATGTATGTGATTGTCACTTGCTCTGCACGGTTCATCAATGCATCTACAGAGTGTCCATGGGAGTCTTTGTGGTACATGCCAGACTAGGACAGTAATCTTTTTGCTACTTCTGCTGGATTATTTATGAGTAAGGTAACTCAAGTCTCCACAGAAATATAGTCACCAGGAGCAAATTATGCAGTAGTGGTTTTAAGAGAAATGATACTCAAGAATTTGTCTAAGCAGCTGGTTGAGGTGGGGCTGAGACAGGAGGATTGAGAGTTCAAAGCCAGCCTCAGCATGGTGAGGCTTGCTAATTAGCACCTCAGTGAGACCCTGTCTCTAAATAAAATAGATAAATAAAATAAAATGCCCCTGAGTTCAATCTCCAGCACCAGAAAAAAAAAAAAGGAATATTTCTAAGCAGTAGAGAAATTGTTGGCCTTAGAAACCATGTTGTGGTCTTAGAGGGATCAGTGTTTTGCCTGAGGTGTACAACCACTGCTCCGGGTTGTGTATTGGTAAAAAGTAAGTTCTAGTATATTTCTGTAGTGTGGAACCTTAGGAAAAATACCCTCACCACATTTGCCAATATCTCTGACTGATTTAGGCAAATTATCATTTGGTTCTGATTGTGTACTTTAGCCCTGATTGTGTACTGGGCTTTGTACAGGTCGTCTGGTAACTTCTTACTATGCAGCGGGGTGAAGAAACTGAAACTTCAGAGTTCTCCAGATACACCGAAAATAGAAATACACCAACAGTAGTAAAAGTCTTAGAGGTCCTGGCCTTATGGGACCAGAAAAGAGCAAAGTTTATGGTAATTACCTATATAGAACTGTGACTGTGAGGGAGGGCCCTCTGGACTCCCAGAAGGGTAGAGGTCGGAGCCTGGGTGAATGTGGGTGGGGGACTGAGGCAGTGCCGTCGGGCTCCAGAAAGGCATGGCACATCCAGAGAGGACAGGAGGCAGGGCAAAGTGCTGGCGGTTGTGACCCCCATTCTAGACAGACAGTAGGGGGCAAATATAAAGCAAATATAATTTATTAAATTTTGAGACAGTTTCTCCCTAAATTGCTTAGGGTCTCCCTAATTTGCCAAAGTTGGTCTTGAACTTTCCATCTTCCTGCCTCAGCCTGCCAAGTTGCTGGGATCACAGGCGTTCATCACCGTACCCCACTGTAGATAAATTTTTGAAAACTGTTAGCTTAGGGTTCAGGTTGTGGCTCAGTGGTAGAGTGCTTGCCTGCATGTCTAGGGCACTGGGTTTGGTTCTCAGCATCACATATTAATAAAATAAAGGTCTATTGACAACTAAAAATATTTTTTGAGAAACTTGCTAGGCATGGTGGCACATGCCTATAATCCCACCGTCTCTGGAGGCTGAGGCAGCAGGATTACAGATTTGAGTCCAGCTTTGTCAATGTAGCAAAAACCCTGTCTCAAAAAATAACAAGGGATGGGGATGTAGCTCAGTGATAGAGTGACTTTAGGTTCAATCCATATACCTTCAAAGAAAAAATGTTTATATTTTGAGGTAGCACTAATTGTAAAAAACTTTAATTCTTTGACTGTGGCTCTCACCACCTTCAAAGTCAGCAGTTAAGAGCTTCTTCCTCACTGATCACTGGCATGCTTTGAATCTTTCTGACATTCTAGTTCTATGTGCTCTAGACCCATATTTAAAGGCCTCATGATGAATTAAGTTCACCTGGATAATCTCCCCCATTTTAAGGCCAATTTAATCACATCTGCAAAATTCCTTTTGACATATAACTCTACATAATTATACAGTAAGAATGCTAACGTTATACTACCTCAAGACATTATACTACCTCAAGACAAAAAAACAGATCTTAAATAAAAAGTGGTACCAGAGACAAAGAAGGACATTTCATAATTATAAAAGGCTTAACCTACCAGGAAGATATAACAATTACAAACACATATCCATCTAACAAAACCCCAAAAATACAGAAAGCAAAATCTGATGCAATTGAAGGGAGAAGTAGAAAATTCAACAATAACAGTTACAGATTTCAATACCATATTTCTAATAAGGGGTAGAAAAACTAGGCAAAAGATCAACCAGGAAATAAAATGTTTAAAACAACATGGCCTAATAGACACCAGTAGAATCCAACGAAAAAGAGCAGAATAGGGCTGGGGATGTGGCTCAAGCAGTAGCGCGCTCTCCTGGCATGCGCGTGGCCCGGGTTCGATCCTCAGCACCACATACAAACAAAGATGTTGTGTCTGCGGAGAACTAAAAAATAAATATTAAAAATTCTCTCTCTCTCTCTCTCTCTTTATAAAAAAAAAAAAAAGAAAAAGAGCAGAATATAAGTCCTCTCAAGTTTACATGAAACATTCTGTAGGATAGACCACATGCTAATCCTTAAAATACACCTCAACATTTAAAAATACTGATATCACGGGGTAAAGTTGGGAGTTCATAACCCACTTGAATCAAACTGTGAAAGATGATGTATTAAGAACTGTGTAATGTTTTGAACGACCAACAATAAAAAATAAATAAAATAAAAATACTGATATCATCTAAAGCTTTTGAGACTCTCAAAAACCTGGTGTATTTGCAGGCTGGCATGGGGTTGGGAGTTTCCTTCACTTGCCATGACTGTTCAGTGGTACCTAGGGACGTGTCCACGGTCCTGCACGTGTGGGCCACCAGCCTAGAGAGCCAGGCAGCAGAAGTGAAGAGATACACATTCGAGAGGAGTCTCTCTCACTACTGGGGAGGAATTGTGTGCAGGAAATGAGGTATGTCAGGGATCACTTTCTCCCATCTCGGCCTATATTTGTAACCTCAACTTCTTTGCCACTAAACCCCTTTGCACAGAAATTCTGTGGTAACTTCTTACCACAGAAATATTTAAAAATTTTAGATAATATGGTATTTTTCTCTGATTCTTCTCAGAAGAATCTCCCACCACAGACTCACAATCTTGATTTTTACCACGCTGAGAATACATCCTCAGGTCAACAGCATTGGTCGACCCGAAACTACTAATCAGTGTTGCATAAAAACTGCTCCAAAGAACAGTTTCAATTGAAACAAGTGGTCACTAATGTATTTGAGATATACATAAACTACTTCAAGGTCTGATTTGGAAAAAAAGATTCTGTGAAATCAAAGGTGACAGACTGGAAGAGATCCTGGGGAGGCAGAATGAAAGTGGCAAGCACACATTTGGCATATAGAGATTAAAAACAAAAACCCCACACACAGCCGAGGAGGAGGGGATCAGGAGGCAGAGGCCTGAAACCTATCTTCAAGTTAATGAAAAGCCAATGCGTTTCCTTAGTGGAGGAAATGGAGCCAGCCTAACATTGGGCACAGCAAGAAGAACCTGAAGACAGAACCCAAGTCCTCACACACCATTCACATGTAGAGAATACCATACTCAGGATTTTTTCTTATAATATTACAATAGTATGAAAAAATCTTGAGAGGAATCAGAGAATACCATATTATCTAAAATTCTTAAATATTTTAAAGAAAAAAATAATGTCATGACAGTCCTCAAGATAATTTAAGAATTGGGGAAAATATTGGTTCCTTTGTGTTTTCTATGCACTTGCAAAAATAAAAAATGAATGTATGTTTGACTTTTAGACAGAGATGGCCTTTAGGATTGTCACACAGACACTGAGAAGCGCTGTGGAGGGCACGGCGTCACTGTGGACTAGGCAGCCAGAGGCGGGAGTTGCTGAGATTCCATGACATCCTCCACCTTCTGATTCTGTTATTCAGCTCCAGGCCTGGCACAGGAGCCTCCCTCCTGTGGGGGTCTGAGCCACAGGCTGACTTAGGCTCTGAGTCTGGGCATCTTGGGCTTTATTTTTGTGGCTAAGGATTTGAAGGGTTGTGGCATGCCGACAAAGTTTATTCCAAAAGTAAGTTATGATCGAATCTGCTTTTTTTGTGTGGTGGTACTGGGGATTTGAATTCAGGGCTGCTTTACCACTGAGGTACACTCCCAGTCTTTTTGAGACAGGGTCTCACTAAGTTGCCCAGGTTGGTCTTAAACTTGCGATCCTCCTGTTTCAGCCTCCTTAGTTACTGCTATTACCAGTGTTTGCCACTATGCCTAGTTTCAAGTCTGCGTTCTTTTGTGTCACCAGGGATTGAACTGGGGGGGGGGCACTTGACCACTGAGCCACATCCCCAGTCCTATTTTGTATTTAATTTAGAGACAGGGTCTCACTTGAGTTGTTTGGTGCCTGGCTTTTGCTGAGGCTGGTTTTTAACACATGATCCTCCTGCCTCAGCGTCCCAAGTTGCTGAGATTACAGGCGTGCAGCACCATGCCCAGCTCAAGTCTGCATTCTTTATACTTGTTTTCTTTTATTTTAATATAAGGAAACTAAATTTTTAACACAATAAAGAACTCTTTCTTATAATTTATATACCATAGACTTCATCCATTATATTTGTATAGTTCGGTGATTTTTATTAGCTTACCAAGTAGTACAATCATCACCATGATCACTTATTTTTAATTTATTATTTGTTTGGATCTCTTATCCCCAGATTCTGGTTCTACTTCTACCACAACCTTTAGCATGGCAGTATCTCCCACTACTCTTTCTGGTCCAAGGAAAGAAATGAGCATTCTGGAATCTAACCAGTACTTGCTCTCTCAGCTGGAAGAAAGCAAACAGAAATTGCAAGATCTCAGAGAGAAATACCTCACTTCCAAAGCTACAGCTTTCTCTCTGGCCAACCACCTGCAGAAATATGGTAAGTCCTACTGGGGCATGGTCACCAAAGTGATAAATGTACATCAGAAGTTAAATATTCTTCAAATTTTCTGCCATGCGACCAGCATGCTAGCTTCATACTAGAGGTTCGAAACATAGAAATTAACCAGTGAGATCCAATTAAAGACACATACTCTCAAATTACCTTTTTCTTGCCCAGCTCAGAGACGGCTTCTCCCAGCTCTCGCCTCTAGCCACCTGACAGGGTAGCAAGGTTTACACAACAGACCAGCAAGAGAGAAAGCACGCCAGAAAGTGAGCTTTTATTGGGGAACAAAAAATTCAGGGGAAAATTCCATCCAATGAAGGTCGAGGGGGGCAGCATTCCAAGGTCAGAGTCAGTGAGTGGCCTCAGGGTCAGTGGTCAGTCACACCCCCACATGGACAGGCTCTCTCATCAGGAGAGGGCCGGGAAAGCTCCGACACAGTTAGCCAGAGCGCCTCAGACCCAAACGGGGAGTCACCCAGTCACGTGCGAGAATGGCTTCCCACAGTCTAACACAGCTTGCTTATCTGAGCGCCTCACACCAGCCAGGAAGATAGCTCAATCAGTGCGAGAACGGATTCCCACACATCCCTCCTTTTTTCTTGTAAAATTCAGGCAATGATTTACTCTCTCGAGCCTCTGCACTTTTGCTCCGAAGACTCACCATCCTATAATTACAACACAAAAGAGAATTAACAGCAAAGAGAACAATCCAATAATGTACCAGGCCGAGTGTTTAAGAATATTTCCAGGGTTAAATCCATTTAACTCCTTCAATATTTGGTTAGCCAAAGAAGAAGGATCTGAAAAATCAGCTCTATTATTTTGCCAAATACCTAACAAATGGTTCTTAACCTTCTCCCAATCCCAGAGAAGCATTGTACTTGGTAGCTGTAACACACACATATTTATAATTTGCTTGGCATTTAAGCCTTTCCTCAAACTTTAAAGCCAAAAGTTCATTACCTATGTCACCTCTAAGGCGTTTAACTTAGTCTCAGTCCTTTCATCAATATTTACTTGATTACGCAGAGCCTTGGAAGTATTTTGGGCTAAATTAAGAAATTTTGCATGTTGAATATTTTGAGATAAGATTATTGAGGCAGAAACAGTGGATGCAATAAAAGAAACAGCACTAAAACACCAACAATTATAATTCCAATAGCACATTTAGGTCTCGCTAGCTGGGCATGGATTTACTGTAAGATTTGAAAAGCAGCATCAGCGTACCATGGCTCTGAAATATTAGCAGGCAATAAAACAAAAGAGGGCTGATGAAGTATTAGCACTCCTTTTCCTCCATTATACCTAGTAATACAATTGGTTAGGTTACATTTGTTACATGTAACAACATATCTGTCATCTATCCATTTAACTTTTACATTTCCAATAATTAAAACATAAGGAGATTGGACACGGGCTCATAAGCCATAGCAAGATCCCTTCTTACAGCTCTTGCCAACAAATTTTGGTAAAGGCTTGTCTGTAAAATGTAAGAATTCTGAGGTAGCAATTAAACACCAAACATCTTTTTGAATACCACCCTCACTGTGAGTCAAAATATTACTAACAAATCCTGCAGGTGTCATAGCAGAATTTTTTTTGTAATTGTCTCATCAATTTTTGGAGACCAGTCTAAAATATACCCACTATCTTTAGACACCTTATGTTGTACAGGAAGGGTATTTACACAATCTATCCATCTAGGAAAGGTGCCAATCTCAATTGCAGAACTATTTGGACAGTGGGGTATTCGTGGAGGTTTTGCAGAAATGACTGGTTTGTTATGGGAAAGTCCCATCTTAATTACTGATCTAGTATAAGGTTTTTAAGTCTCCATAAATAGTATGATTAGTCAGTCTAGGTCTACCAATCGCTGTCTTTTCCTCAAATACTTTCAGACAGCCAGCATGTTTATCGTGGGACCAACACAAAGGTAATTGGGCACTGTAGCCAGAATAATTAAATCTAGTCACATGATTGGGAGTAACATGAGTATCTGTAAATCCTCCCATCATGAATGAGTCATTAGAAAATACTGGAATAGATTCTCCAGTCCACACAGCTGGGTGTACCAGGGGTGGGTCTGGGAAATATGTCCAGTTAGTGTCTATCTGATTCCCCTTTACCTGACAGCCCAGCAGGGCAATTACTATCGCTACCATCAAGACTGGGGTCCTGTTTTTTCCTAGGAGTCGAATTATTCGGGAGGCCTGGGTTGTTAGCTTCTTCACATCTTCCCATGAAATCAGCCTTTCAGCTGGGTCAGTCTGATTTTTCTTCATCCTTCTTCGATATCTCTTCCTTTTGAATGGGGGCTTCTCTGGGTTGATCTTCAGTCGCTTGAATCTGGGTTCTATCTCTTCCATGTCTGATAGCACCCAGATAGGACGAAAAGCACCTTCTGGAAAAATACAAGCATGACCTCTGCCCCACATAATCACTGGGTCTGGGCCTTTCCACTGACCGGTCTGTAAATCTTTCCACAAAACTCTGCCTAAAGGGCCTGTTACTGCAGGAGACATATGTCTGTCAGCTGCAGTGTGACCTTCTGCGTCACAATTAAAAAAATTTAAAATGAACAAGGCATGGTTGAGGCTATTTTGGGGAGTCATAAACCTATTCTGCCCTTTTAATTTTTGTAATTGAAGCTTAATAGATAAATGAGCTCATTCCACAATGGCTTGACCTTGGGGGTTATAAGGAATTCCTGTTTTATTTACCAAATTGAGGAATATGAGTTACATCCATTTGCCATATTTTGATTTGGTTTTAATCCACGGGGATTTACCCCTGATGGCAAAGATGGAGAATGAATGACATACTTAGGGCAGTGACTTACAATTTGACGAGCTTGTTCTCTGGTAATATTAAATTTTTTACATAAACTAGAAGCATTTTGATGATGTAAGGAATGGGAAGCTTGTGCACAATCATATGGAGACATCTGTTGACAAACAGCTACTAATTTATCAATCTTGTCATTACCTGAAGCTAAAAGTCCTGGAAGATTAGTGTGAGCCCATATGTGTCCTATGAAACATGGGTATTTTCGCATTTGTACTGCCTTTTGTAAGTTATGAAATAATTTAAATAACTCTTGTGATGAAGTATATCCCAATAACTGAAGTTTCAATATTTTTGGTAACTTCAACTGCATATAAGCTGTCAGAATAAATGTTAATAGGCTCATTTGTAAGGTAATTTAAGGCACAAATGAGAGCTTGAAGATCCGCTCTTTGGGCAGAAGTATATGAAGTTTGCATTACCTCTGTGTGAACACAACTATAAAAACCTGCTTTACCTGAGCTTGAACCCTCCGTGAACACAGATAGGGCTCCATCTATGGGCACGTACAATCTTTAGAAAAATAAGCGGTGTTAATGATGCAAATTGAATAATTTTATCACAAGGGTAATGACTATCTATCTGGCCAGGAAAATCAGCAAAAGCCATCTGTCATACGCTAGAAGTTTGAAAAAGCCAATTGTTTTGTTGAACAGAAAATGGAATAATTATGATATCAGGCTCAGATCCAATTAATTGTAAAACTCTCATTCTACCTTTAATTACTAATTGAGCAATACAGTCATGAAAAGGAACCAAATGTTTTTGAGGGGAGTGGGCCAAATAAATCCACTCAATAACTCCCAATCTTTGCCATATAGCTCCTGTTGAGGCATTATGTTCAGTTGGAAATATTAATAAATACACTATTTCTTTAGGATCAACTCTAGTAAGTTGTGCATTTCTAATTGCACTTTCAACCTTTTTAAAAGCTGTTCTAGCCTTTATTGTTAGCTGACGTGGAGACGTTGGGGAAGAATTCCCTTGTAATATCTGAAATAAAGGACTTAAATCAGAAGTAGTTAGTTTTAAGAATGGCCTCAGCCAATTAATATCTCCTAATAGCTTTTGAAAATCATTAAGGGTATGTAACTCCTTAACTCTTATCTTAATATATGATTCAGAAAAGCTATTTCTTATAGGAGCTATCGCCTGATCTACATATTTCTGGCATAAAGTAAGACTGTTATGCATTCCTTGGGGGAGTACCTTCCAGCAATATCTTTTAACAGGTTTTAAAAAATTAATTGCTGGGACAGTGAAGGCAAATTTTTCACAATCTTCAGGATGTAACCTTATAGAGAAAAAATAATCTTTTAAATCTATTACCATCAAGCTATAGTTTAAAGGGATGGCTGTGGGGGAAGGAAGTCCTGGCTGTAAGGATCCCATAGGCTGAATGATTTATTGCCCTTAAATCCTGTAGTAATCTCCAATTACCTGATTTTTTCTGGTAAAATGGGGGGTGTTCCAAGGACTAAGTGTTGGCTCTATATGACCAGCCTGAAGCTGTTCCTCAACTAACCTATGAATTACTTTAAGTTTTTTCCCTGAGATGGGCCACTGAGAAATCCATATAGGCTCCTCAGCTGTCTTTTGGATCGGGGAAACACTAAGGGCCCCTAGTAAAAATTTTGGTTTGGAGTATTTACTAATCTCTGTGGTGGAGACTGGTTTTCAATCAGATACTCTCCCTGAAAGGTTTTCTTATCATCTCCAGGAAAAAAACCCTGATTAACTTCCTCAATTGATCTTATAGAATTTGGAGTTACTAATAACAATCCCATTTTAGCTAAAATATCCCTTCCCCATAGGTTTGCTGGTAAGGACTCCAAAACATAAGGTTTAAAAACTCCACTGTTCCCATCCGAATCCTCCCAACGGAGATAATTTGCACTTTGAGCAGGCTGTGAAATTTGTCCCATTCCCTCTAGGTCAGCTGGTGCTACATGTAAGGGCCAATTCCTAGGCCAGAATTTACTAGAAAAAATAGAAATATCTGTCCCAGTATCTAGAATTCCTTTGATTTTTTTATGATTAATTTTAAGTTCCAGTAAAGGGCTCTCCTGTCGCACTAAACTGTCTGGCGGTTTGGAAACTGAATTTACTTGAGGGTGTTCATCTGAATCACAGGGTAATAAAATTAATTGGGCAAATGTATCTTCTGGAGTAAGCCGTAGGGCATAATTGGACCTTAGAGCAACATTTAATTGTCCTTTAAAATTAGAATCTATTACTCCAGGTATTACCTCCAAGGCCTCTTTTAAATTATTATGTCCCAAAATTAAACCTATACTTTTTTCAGGGAGTGGCCCGAAAATCCCAGTAGGAATTTGTTTTGGCCCTGATTCAGGATTTAATTCTATTGTCACTGAGGGTCGTAAGGAAACTGTCTGTGATTTATGTTCCGGTAGAAATGGCAGCCTGCGATGGCCAGTGCCAGTCAAACTGTGCGACCCCTCCTCCAATTCCCCATTTCTTTGGTGGGACCGGGGAAGGGTCGCGGAAGGGCTGATGGTTAGGTTTTTTTTTCCTGCCAGGGGGAAATGACAAGAAGGCGGGCTGCCCAGCGCCACCTTGATCCACCGCGGGGGTGGAGCCCTGTAATATTTACCGTCAACAGCAGAGGGAGCCCTGGACTTAACATTGCGGGCATGGCATTCTCCGCATAATGGCCACTTTTCCCGCAGAGACAGCACCTCCCGCGGGGTTTTCGCGCCAATTCCTGTGGCTGCAAAGTTTGTTTTAACGCAGCAGCTAATGTTACTATTTGTAGATGAGTGGAATCGATCTCAGAACACAAACGGATAAACTCAGAAACTGTCCCTTTTTTTCTATGGGGTCTGAGAACATCCTGACAGTATTTATTTGCATTTTTAAATGCCAATTGCTTAACAATGAATTCACGAGCGCCTGGGTCTCTTATGGAGCGGCTGGCTGTCTGATACAGTCTCCCTACAAAATTAGAATAAGGTTCACTAGCACCTTGTCTAACCTTAGTTAGAACTAAATTAGATTGGTCTTTGGAAACTCTCTGGCACAAGCAGTTATCTGATCATATACCGCAAATTCATAATTTAACTGTATTTTCAAATCGATAAATTCACCCGTTCCTAAAAGCATTTCCACTGGTGTCTGGAGATTCTGTCTCCTATTCCTTTCTGCTTGTTTAGCACAAAAATCAGACCAGTAGGACTTCCAAAGCAAGAAATCCCCGCCACTCAGGCAAGCTCTAGCTAACCAAACCCAGTCACTCGGTGGGAGCGGTTGTGAAGCGATAGTCTCCAGCAAATTTTGCGCAAAAGGTGAATTTGGACGGTAAACCTCACAAGCGCTCTTTAATTCCTTGATAGTCTTAAAAGGAATTACCGCGTGGACGCGAACCCGCTGATCCTGTTCATTAATCTGCTCAAAACCTGGGAAAAGTTGAAATTCGCTAATGTCCTCCCCGGCTTCCTGTGCCTTCTCAATACCTCGCTGGAACGGGGTAAGAAAAGTCGTTGTTAATTCAGAGTACCTTTTAGCAGACAATGGCCGAATTCTAATAGCCTGGGCAGGCGGTGTTAAACGCAGCCTGTTAAAATTTCCCTGCAAGTCCTGGATTTCAATGTCTGATTCCTCTCCCTCAGACTGCGACTCCTCAGCTGAATTTTCGCTGTCGCCATTTTGAAATTGGGCTTCTAAGCCACGTGGTGGAGAAGGGCTTTTTACCTCTCTAGGAATTTCTTCTGGATTTTCCTCTCCGGGAGGATTACTTTCTATCCCTCCGGGAGGACTTTCTATGCCTCCAGGAAGAGAACTATCTATCCCTCCGGAGGCTTGCTGTCTATGATCTTCGTCTCTAGGATCTTCCTCCAAGTTACCCTGACTCACTTCAGGCACGCTTACATTTCTCACTTTCGGTTTAGCCCCGGGAGCTTTTGTCTTTATCGGGCTTAAGGGAAAGGAGATTACCTTAGCCTCAGACAGGTTTTCCATTTGAATAGACTTAATGGCTCTCTGAATACCCTTCAATAGACATTCAGTGGGCCATGGACTATGGCCCATGTAATCAAAAAGACAAATTTCTAAAGCAGTCCATAGTCTTTGAATGTTATCAAAATTTCCAGGTAATTCATTAGAAAGGCAGATTTTATGTAATTTCCTTCCTAATTTGTCCCAAGTATGTAAATTTGGCGAATCTTGGTCACAAAACCAAGGGCAAAATTCACCTACAACCTTTAAGAATTGTAACAACTGAGTCTTTTTTATTTGCTTTTCTTTCTGATTAATTATCATTTCTAAAATAGCCAAGTACATGTCCTTACCAGTAGAAGTTGAATTTCCCATTATTAATAATTTTACGTCTCGTCGCTTCAGTACCTCCTGGTACTTTTGTGATCCCAAAATGTCACCAATTCCTTATTTCTATAGCGCGCTCACACCCAACCTAGCTAATCTAATATGTCCCCTCTTGGGCGCCACTTCTGCCGTAAACTAACTAGTGAGATCAAATTAAAGACACATAACTCTCAAATTACCTTTTTCTTGCCCAGCTCAGAGACGGCTCCTCCTAGCTCCTGCCTCTAGCCACCTGATGGGGCAGTAAGAGACGAGCAGGAGAGAGGAGGAAGCACACCAGAGAGTGAGCTTTTATTGGGGAACAAAAAATTCAGGGGAAAATTCCATCCAATGAAGGTGGAGGGGACAGCATTCCAAGGTCAGGGTCAGTGATTGGTTTTCAAGTCACTGGTCAGTCACACCCCCACACGGACAGGCCCTCACATCTGGGAAGGGTGAGGAAAGCTCAGACACAGCTGGTCTGAGCGCCTCACACCCAGCCAGGGAAGTAGCTCAATCATGTGTGAGAACGGCTTCCCACAAAACTTTTTTCTTTTCTATCCTTCATCAAAATAGACTTCATCCTGGCTGTGCTCCTAGGAAGGTAGAAGTGGGTTTTTGCCCTCAATTTGCAGAGGTTGAAAGAACTGAAGAACAAAGAAATAAAGTTTGTAGGAAGAGAGTAGGGAGAAATAGAGACTAAAATCTTGTTAAAGGTGCTAAATTGTTTTTTCTCAGAAACATGTGTCACCACTTTTGGCTGAAATCTCAGGATTCAGTTCAAGCTGTTTCTGAACACCTATTTGTAAGGCATTATGCTGGGGAGAAAGAAGTAATATGTATCCTAACTGCCTTAAAGGAGATGAAAGCTGTCAGTTCCCAACTGACTCACAGATGTTTACAGATGAGAATATTAATAGCAGACAAATAGGGAAGTCTTGATGCCTTAAGAAGATTCCATTCCCACCTAAGCTCCAGGAAGACATCACATTCTGGTCAGATTGAGGGTATTTCCAGGAAAACCAGAGATTCTATAACACCCTTTCTATCTCTTCCTGAGTGAATATGAACTTTGTAGACAAAAAGCAAGTCCAGGTGGACCTCTAGGTTCTGGATTATGTATGAGACACTTGGCCAAAATGAGAATAAGACCAAGTGGAGACCACCAGTCTCAGTCCCAGTTGAGTCCAGTACAGAGTCCACAGCCAGCTGTCACATTTGGAAGTCCAGCGGGAACCCCCTATCTATTGACAATGAGGAGGAAGAAGGGAAACTGCAGTGATGGAGAACCACATGGGAAAATGGGCATGAGTGGAATTCAGATATCAGAAGAGGATCCTGCAAACTTTGAAACGGAATTTGCCTTTAAATTTCTGTGATTTGTCAATAAATCAAGGAGGAGGGGTAAATTTTGCTATCTAGTCAGGCACAGTGGCACCTCTCTGTAATCACAGTGACTCTGGAGTCTGAGGCTGGAAGATCACAAGTTCAAGGCCAGTCTCAGCCATTTAGCAAGGCCCTAAGCAACTTAGTGAAACCCTGTTTCAAAATTAAAGATAAAGAAGGGCTGGGGATGTGGCTCAGTGGTTAAGCATGCCTGGATTCAATCTCCAGGACCAAAAAAAACAAAAAAACAAAAACTATCCAACTTATTGTCGTAGACACATAAGTAAAACTTAAAGCCCACTTGTTAAAGTAGTAAAAAGATGAGCTCTGGATTGTGGAAATACTGAGTTGCTGTTGTTGTTGTATTAAACATCATTTATCACAACCATAACACAACTTCAAGACACACATTTTTGAAGCTGAAGAAGAAACGTGTTACTTAGGACTTTATATCAAATTAATGTAGAGCAGTGATTAAAAGCATGTGCTCGGTGTGGTGCGCCTGATGCTTATGGTACAGCTGCAGTGGGAAACAGGAGTTTGAACGACCAGCCTGGGCAACATACTGGGACCCTGTTTCAGCAAAAACAAACAAGAAACCTCCAAAGAACATGTACTCTTGTGTAATAATGCTTTCTGGTTTTGAATCTCACTTGTGTTTTATAATACCAAGAACAAAACCTAGTGTAAATATGGACTTTTATTAATAATAAATAACGTATCAATACATGCTAGGCAAGCACTTTTTTATTTGCCTGAGCCACAACTCCAACCCAGATACATTTTTAAATCTTTGAAATACTTTGGGATCATTAGTGTTGCAGTTCTTGGTGTCTTCCCAAAGACACAGGAAATCACTATTTCATGCCCCAGCTTAGTGTAAGAGGCCAAAGGTTTGGTAATCATGGTCAGACCTCAGGAAATGTGAATTCTGACTCTGCCAAATACCAATTGAATCACCTTGCCAGGTAATTTTACCTGCCCGTGAACTTCTTCCCTTACCTCTAAAATAAGGAGTATAGTTGAAGATTGAAGAGTAAAGATGTGAAAATCTCTGTAGAGCTGGGTGCAGGAGTTACTTTTGTTCCGACAGTGGGCCTTGCCTTCTCCCCTGGAGGCAGTGACCACAGCAGTATGTTGGGCTTCCCACTGAGACAAGCTTGTCTGTCTTCCCAGAGTGTGAGGAGTACAAAGAACTCATTAAATCTGTGCTGGAAGAGGAGCTGCAGTCTGAAGAGGGCAGTGTGGCAGAGGAGTTGCGAAGAGGTGCAAGACTTGGGTAAGGAGGTACCTGTATGAAGATCATGAATACAGCTGCCCAGGCTGGTATTCTACCAAAAAAGTGAATTTGTGCAAGCAGAAGGGCAGAAATGCATAGGATAGGCACAGAACTAGACAAAGACAATCAGTGGGGCTGCTGTCTACTGAGGGCTCCAGAGCTCTCCATTAATAACATATGAATCAAATGGAGACAGAGGCCAGGGTTGGAATAATAAGTATTGGCTTCTAGCTTTGTGTCCTTGAGCATATCTACCTAATTTTCTTGCAGGTCAGTTCCCTCAGCTAGCTCATCTGCAAAGCGAAAATATTGAGTATCTAACTCAGAGGGTTGTAAAGATTAAATACTGAATAGAACCATCTCTGACACATGGTTCTACTATAATCATTATACTTGCTCTATTTTTATAGGTGTGGATTTGTCATTAATGAACTTTTCCTTTTTTCTTTTTAGTACCAGGGGTTGAACCCAGGGATGCTCAACCCCTGAGCCACATCCCCATCCATTTTTAATTTTTTTTTTCTTTTTAGTTGTAGATGGACACAATACTTTTATTTATTTATTTATTTTTATGTGGTGCCAGAGATTGAACCCAGTGCCTCACACATGCTAGGCAAGTGCTCTACCCTGAACCACAACCCCAGCCCTCCTAATGAGGCATTTTGAAAAAACCAAGTTAGTAAAACTCCAAAACCCAAGGATACTTCTTTGTTCCATTTGCCTTAGGCAAGTCAGACAGCTTGCACAGGAATTCAATTTGGCAAGTTCCTGGGGGCATTCTCAGAGACATCTCTGCTCCTGTAACTTCCATTCATGACGTTCACTCCTACAGTTCATTCTTTTTTTCCACCTTAGGAAATCTGATAGCCTGTTTCAGGCTCAAGCCCAAGAACTGACCTATTTACGGCAGAAAATACAGGAAGGGAGAGGTGTCTGCTATCTTTTTGCTCAGCACGTGAAAAATGCAGTCAAATCTTTTGAGAGTGTCCTCAGGAGCACTGGCGTCACCAGCTATCATGGACAAAGACTCTGTGAGCAACTGACCCAAGGAAGCAAGCTGGCAGAGCACCTTGCCCGCAGGCTCACCACTGGTAAACTGGCTACAGGCTCTGAAGATGAGTTCCTCCCAGACCCCCAAAGGAGCAGGAGAGAATGCAAAGTTTTTCCCACTGTAGATTATTTTAGTTTTGAGTATGATCTTTAACC